TCTCTCTCTCTCTCTCTCTCTCTCTCTCTCTCTGTGTCTCTCGTGCGCGCGCGGCGACATTTGCATCTGACAGCTCCTTAGTCAATACTCACACCGGGATTTCTTTTGAATGTATCTGTCCATCGCGGTGTATCTTCCTATGTTCTTGCGGAAGATTCCTTCTCATTATGCACATTGGCAGGCTGCTCCGTTGATGCACACATGAAACTGTTGAATTGCATCGGCGACCACAATAACATTGTTCTGATTTACGAAGGATACTACGGCGTGCTGATGCCAAGGCCGATGACCCCCCCCGAGTGCTGCGCGTCCCTCGTGTTTTAAAACAAACACCCTCAATGTCGCCCGCGGCAGATAATGGTCGTGCCTGGGGTGGGACTCTCGCTGGGCCGCGGCTTCGCCGCGGCGAGTTCACTTGTCACTCTAAAAAGAAGAAGTTCCCTATGTTGCTCTGTAAGGTACGCTGAGCTTTCCCACCCACGATGAACTCTCATGTAACGGATTGAGACGCTGAACATGGGCCGGGGGCTAGGTTCCACTTGCACGAATTAAGAAATAGTGACCGTAGATAGCAAAGATCAACGGCCCAAATCTCCTAATTTGCACAAGTGGGACCTTGCCCCGGGCATCAAGCTAAGTCCTCACAACCAGCTCGATAGTTAAATGCCATCAACGATCTCTTCCCCGAAATAGAATGCATCGTCATCATCGCTGTATCCCAACTGGAAGTTGCCCTAAATACAGCTTCCAAATACAGCTTTAAAGACCGTATGTTCTATTCGGGGAAAGAGGGAAGCAGCTCAGTCGTTTGTGGCTTTCAACATAGAAAACGGCTCCACCCACCCTTACTGGAACTCGGCCGGCATTTTCAAGCACATACAGGTACAGGCACCAGGAAATTTATGACAAATCGAAAGACTTCGGGTGCACCTTTCCCCCGAATCTGGACGTGTTTGTGTGCTGTGCGGTTGAGGAAACTTAACGCTATTTCCTGCACACATCTGCACAAGAACGTCCAGATTCGGGCGTGTAGGAAAATCAGCTCTCCCCACCAATAGACGGAGCCTCCCCGACAGTGTTAGTGGTGTCGGCTCTTATCAGCACCCCTAGCACAAAAAAAAAAAAAAAAAAAAAAGAAGGAAAGTCAGCTCTCCTAGTGGAACTTGGCACCAGATGTGAAAGACGGTGTGTGTCTATTTCAACACAAGGGGCCTCGCTGCACTACTCTCGACATGCACAAAAGACAAAAATATTGGCGGTGTATCTTTCCGTATTCTAGTGGAAAATTCACTCTCGTTTTGCGCATTTCGAGAGTAGTGCAGCGAGGCCCAAGGTTGCATCAGCACTCTTGTGGGAAGAGCACTTGTACTACTTCGCTTTCGACAGTTGTGAGGCGAGGCCCAAGCGGCCCCAGATGTCCGTGCGGAACACTGATGACACAATGAGACAATGATATCAGTGCCATTCTGGAGAAACGTCGCACCTCGCGGCGAGGTGCGGCGCGGCGCGGCGCGGCGCGCGCCGGCCCGAACAGGACCGAGCTCAAGGACCGTTGGGCCGACCCAACGGTCCACGAGCTCCGTCCTGTTGGTCCTGATGAAAAAATCGGGACCGTCATTCATCATCTTTCACGACAGAACGAATTCGAGTATTACAGGTTGTGGTCCGGCCTGGGTCCCCTTGTCGTTTTCTTGGGAAGGGGAGAGGGGCGGGGAGGCCCCGGGGGGGCGTGTCCGACGGTCTGCAAATACCTCGGTTATTCGAGGGACAAGAAATCTTCCATCCCCGGCCTCGATTGTTTCTTCCTTGAATATATGAATTTGAAAAAAAAAAAAAGAAATCTTCCACTCCGAGGAAAAAACGCAACACGCGGACAACTCCGCGGCGAGCAAAAATCACGGTCGCGGCACCCGTACGTCCCGCGCATAACGGTCATATTACGATACGCGAACGGTCACAAGTACAAAATGCAACAAAACAGGAACAGAACTCCAAATCTGGAAAACAATCAGGAAGCATATGCGCCATGTAGCGCCTATTACCAAAAAGGGGCAATCAAGCCTCCACATGGCAGAGGGGAAATAAAACTACAACCGCAACCGGCGTGCACGTACAAAAAGGTAGGAAAGGTGTACACACCTACACCGGGCCTTTCTTGCACCCACCATTGGTTCTCGAGCCTACGATCCGAAATAAAAAAAATCCGGGCAAGCATTACCTTCACCCCGGACTTTTCTCAGACCTGCATTTCACAAGCATAAGGGTATTCAGGCAGCCGCCTTGTGAAGTAGAAGGGTCGTTTCGTCACTCTTTTCCGCAAAGTAGAAGGGTGAGTATGTCCCTAAAGTCTTCCCCCGAATACAACGTACGGTCAATATAACTGAATTTAGACGGAAAGATAGACCAAATTCAGCTATAATGACCGTATGTTGTATTCGGGGGAAGACTGCAGCACTTCCTCAAGCGAGGGAAGACGCCTAATGACTCGTCGTGGGCGGGGTGGTAGGGGTTGTGGGAAAACGAGAATTGGAGATGATCAAAAGAATCACACTTGCCAATGGGCATAGCTCAGTTGGTACACCCGCGACCTGTTGACAAACAGACCCGAGTTCCATTCAAGATACAATCAGATGACCGGAATAAATCATTCTGAATTACCTGGAACCGGTCAGTTCAAAAAGGTGGTATCTCAAAGCCGTTGCCCTTACAAAAAAAAAAAAAAAAAGAAGAAAGAAACACAGTTGGCAAGCAAAGCCATGGAGGGACTCTATGTCGCAGACCTCCATTTCATCAGCATGGGTATTCAAGCCGCCTTGTGCAGGGTGATTTTGTCATCTTTTCGGCGTTTTAGGGAAGCAAAGCGGCGAGTGAATAGACTTCCTTTGGATAGGGAAGGTGTCTCGAGGAGAGCGGGGAGGGGGGGGGACTCGGGGAGAGCGGGAGGGGGGGAGGGGGGGATCTCGAGGAGAGCGCGGAGAGAAGGTGCGGGGGGTGGTAAGGGTTGTGGAGAATAGAAAGGTGGGTATAGTAGAGAGGAAAGCGGGGACGGGGGGGGGCTCGAGGAGAGCGGGAGGGGGGGATCTCAAGGAGAGCGCGGAGGGAAGGTGCGGGGGGTTGTGGAGAATAGAAACGTGGGTATGGTAGAAAGAAACATGTCCAGTCCGGAGGTAAAGGCTTGAATCCTGACCTAGTCTTGTCCGCAGAATCGAGCGGAGGAATCTGCGAGAGATAAGTGACCGGGACATGATTGGTGCCGGCGAGTGACTCCTGATTGCCACGGCCAACATCTGCACCAAAGGGATCAATCGATAGTCGATCGCCATTGCCCTCAGTGCCCTCCGTCTGGACATCCAACAACGCTTGGATTTGCCTCATGTTCACTTCCAGGGCTTCTATCTGCCAATCAAAATCAGTAAGGACAGGAACCAAGACCAAAGTTTGAATCCAGATACAAACACCTGACAAAAATAAAAAGGGCCGGTCAGTTCAATGATAAGATCTTTATTTTTCTTTTTTTCTTTCAATGATGGCATCTCAAGTCCGTCGTACTTTCTTTAACAAAAGAAGAAAAGAAAAGAAAAAAGAACGGGCCCGACGGAACGACACTGTCAGACCACAGAGGAAAAACACGCCTATACACTCGACATCTTTGGGCTGATACAAACTGTCGAGCAAAAACGAACACACTAACGAATCCACTCACCTCCTACCGTCTTCACCCGCCTAGAACACCCGGTCATTGTCACTGCATCTGGACTCGAAGTTGCTCCAAATACAGCTGAAATGAACGGCGTACGCGCACAAGAAAACAGACTTCGTATAGAATTCCAGCGATAGTCTGGAACAGTCGGGCTTTGTGTGTGAACTTGTTTACAGTGAAGAACGCTACAGCCGCCAAGAAGAACGACGCGATCTTGTGTAAAAATAAAAGCTCATCTAGCTGCGCGCAATCAGCGATTATGGGCCTAGTAGAACAACTCGCCATCCGCCAACATTTGAATGCACCCGGATACATGTCATGATGCATTCGAACTGTTGGCAGAAGGCGAGGGGTGCAACTACCGATCTATAGCATACAGTAAGTCGTTGGGAATTCGACCGCCAAAAGCTCGTTTCCTCCGCGTCTGTAAAGCGCCGAAGGCCTCTACATTTCTGAAAAGACAAACCAGCATTCTCCAACTTTTACATGCGCCCCCTCTCTCTCTCTCTCTCTCTCTCTCTCTCTCTCTCTCTCTCTCTCTCTCTCTGTGTGTGTGTCTGTGTGTGTGAGTGTGTGCGTGCGTGTGTCTTCGTATAGGGTTATCATTAAGAGGAAATGGAATAGGATTACCGTGAAAGCACTAGGTTCTGACGATCACAAAATCCCCGCTACCCAAAATCTATGGATTTGACTTGTGGAGCATATGACCGTTCTTCAACCGGCTATGTACCATTTGAAACCGTGGTAAATACCAAAGGGTGCCCAACACAAAGGTCAACTGCGAAGAACAACACAGAACAACACTAGACAGCCGTAAATCACGTCAAAGTACGCATGGACTTCACTCCTATACATGGGGTAGAGAAAGCATCGAGAAGCATTGACGAGAGTACCAAAACTATCATAGAATGAACACAAGGAGAAATGAAGACTGCACTTTGCCACCCCCTTCAACGCTCGCGCGCACACACACACACACACACACACATATCGTACTGACGTAAGTGTCGAATCTTACAACAGGGGTACTTCTGTGTTTCTCTCTCCCCCTCTCTCCTCGCCTCCCGGACAACCCTCTCCTCCCTTTTTCCTCCCTCCGTCTCGCTATTTGCCCACGCCCTCCCTCGTTCTTTTCCCACCTGTTCTCCCGGCTCTCTCTCTCTCTCTCTCTCTCTCTCTCCATCTCTCTCTCTCTCTCTCTCTCTCTCTCTCTCTCTCTCTCTCTCTCTCTCTCTCTCCATCTCTCCAGAGAGTGAACTTACCGGCCAACTCAAATACACGTCTTTTGTTGACGAGCTCGGATCATCTGTACAATTGTTCTCTGCCCGTCTCCCTCTCCTCCCCCCTGCCTCGTTTCTTTCCCTCTGTTCGCCCCCGCGTGTCTCGACTTCCCCACCGCTCTCTCTCTCTCTCTCTCTCTCTCTCTCTCTCTCTCTCTCTCTCTCTCTCTCTCTCTCTCTC